GCCGAAACTTATAATAAATTAATCAAAAATCTTAATGCTTAAGAATATAAAACTAGTAGTTGCTTTAGCCATGGCTTATGCTTCGATACGCGGGGCAACTACATTTTCTAAAACTTGCTCTTTCAATGTAGCCAGTTAGATTTATAAAGCCGACTGACTATACACAAGAAAAATCCTGGAGTTACTCTTAGCGGATCTTACAAGCATGGCGTGCCTTGGCCAGCAGCTTATACAAAACATGTCGATATGACATGATCCCTACCAAATCTTCCAGAAAGTGTGGACTCCCAAGAGATAATGGAATACGAAGTATATTTTGTGTAAATATGCACTACACTTTCTGCACGAATGCTCACATCACATCTTAAAAGAACCAACGAACTGGTTTTTATGGCTGTGTAAAGATGTTTTGTTTCAAAAATACAGTGTCCAAAGAAAACGCTTAACAAGCACTCACCGCGTGGGATATATCCTTCTCCGCTTAGACTGCACAGTGTATGATCTTACAAGCATACTTACATCAAGGGACTTCTAGCCACGCAGCTTCCTATGGATCCGCGATCCTCTTAGACAGGTGCAGTCCATGCAACTAACGACCTTGAAGCCAATCTCCGAGATGAGGCAGCGATACTCTTTGGTGAGAAAAGATAGAGCGACTTTCTGAGGTCTGGCCTGACTCCCAGCCTTCATATAAGGTGCACTCTTCGTATGTATAGTGAAGATTGCCCATTCAAGTTAGGAACGGGCTGAGGATTCGAGAAAACTTGTTCACTTCTGACAAGTTGAAGGATAAACACTCGAGTAAGGGGTATACACTGGATATGGCGATCCAAACTGGCATTGATAACTCACACCTTGGAGTTAGTGTTGTAGCTGGTAATGAAGAGTGTTATCAAGTATTTAAGGATCTCTGTGACAGTGTTTTGAAGGATGGTATGGATATAAACCAGAAGATAAGCAACAAACCGATATGGATGTAGCAAAGCTTAAAAATGCCGAGAAGATTTATTATACATATGTACAGTCGACACGTGTGCGTGCTGGACGTA